TCTATGGTTGTACTCAAGCTTTGCGTTTGCAATAGGGGAGGACACAGTTTGATAAAATTTGCTTCTTTAAATTTACGGTATACTATAGTGGCCTATTGCTATTACAGTACCGTAGCCATAATGTTCTACCACTTCGCCTAAACAATAAAGAAAAATTAATATTAAAAATTTGCAAATTATCGCAAATTATTCATGAGAAATAGTTATTTGTGCAACTAGTGAGAAAAGTGAGCAATTGACTCACTCGAGAGAAATCCTTACTCACGAGCCGTAGGCGAGTGAGGAATGGTTTATCGAGTGAGGCAATTGTACTTTGAACTCGAGTTGCACATTATACTTTTCCTACAGTTACCATAAAACAAATAAATTGGTGAAGAAACATAACCTATTTTACACAGAAGTGAACTTTTAATATAAAATTTAATGTGAAGTGACAAATACAACAGTACAACAGCTGACCAGCTGATTTACAGCCAGTGCTGCCAACGTATTTCGCGCGCATATGGCGTTGCCTGCATGTTACGCGCTCACTATTTCGTGCCTTCACGTTGAAAATCTGGAGTGAGACAAAGTAATTAGAGTGAGACAATGTTAACATTGTCTCACTGTTGAGCGAATTGGCCACTTTGCTTTCTCAAATCAGCGAGAGAACATGTATATTGTTAGGTAACTGTAGGAAAAATTATAAACATAACTGTAAACGATCCTCCTGGCGATTCTCATTAGTATCACAGTTTTTTTGCTGTTTAGTTCAAATTAGCTGTTTTCATAAATGCAAAAAAAAATAGTGCTCCACCCTGTGGTGCTTTTGCATATCATAGAACCAACTTTTTTAGTTGAAACAGCTGACTAAATTCTTTAATTCCCTTTAAATATGAACGAGGTGTTAGCCCGTCCTACGTACGGGAGTATTCAGTTAAAACTGTGTATAATTCAGAACAGCTAGCTTACACGTTTAAAGACAAATTTTATTGCAGTCTACAGTAGAAAGAGTAATCATCAATTGAGTAGTGTATAGGCCTAGTCAACGATATCACCTTCCAATTCCATCGCATACCTGCCTCTTCCATAATCAATATCACCACAATACAATATCTCATACTATACACAATTTCCAGTAGGTCTGAATTGAAACTCCCTAAAATAAAACGAAAACATTCAATAAAATTCACAGTACACATAATTATAACGTTGGTGTCCTGACATCTTAAATGAATCGTCCACAGATATCCTTTATATCAATTTCACTGCATCAATTGCTAAATAAATAATTATAAACAAAGAAAGGTAAACAGCTGAGTCAAAAATAAAATAATATTCATTTGAACAAAAGAACTGGTCACATGTTGAAGGAACTTAAACCATAAACACGCTAGTGACGTAATTAATTGTCTATGTTTATTATCCATTCCGTTATCAGTTCTAATATCCTTAATAATTAAACCACCCTACTTGAATCAATGTACACCGTAATTCCCCATATTCATTTATTTAAACTATAAAATATTCAGAGCCACCAAACTTAACCACAACTAAACACACGCCAAACAACTTTTTAGATTTCATAAAAGGATGGTTAGTCTAATTGCAGGATCCTAGGTCAATGATGACGTTGTGCTCAATCTATGTCATTCATCTGTATATCTTTGGATAAAACCCGTCTGAGGTTGTGGTGGTAATTTAAAATCGTATGCATGAGGGTTCTTGATCTCCTTCTTTATGACATCAATATTTCCGGGCCTTATCCAAACAAAAGTTTGAGTATTCAAAAACATTGATTGTAAACAAAAAGCTACCAAGATGAATTAAAACTTGTAAAAATGGATTTTCCTACAGTTTCCTAAAAAAGTTGAGCAGTAAAATAATTTGCATATCCTTTTTTTAAGACTCGTGTACAGAGCCTCGACTTGTATGATACATCGATTGTGTTACTTATCTCGGTGGTCTACTAATCTTACTTATTTCCTACTAGCTGTAACCCTCGGGCTTTGCCCCGTTTAACTTCTTAACTTTCAAGATTATCTCGTTCGCATGGCTCAATCACGTCCTGGTTGAAGTTTGTTCGCTACGCTCACTCACCTTTAGTTTGGAGCTCGTTCGCTGCGCTCACTTGCCTTCAGGTTAGCTCGTTCGCTACGCTAACTCGCCTCCAGGTTGAAGTTCGTTCGCTATGCTCACTCACCTTTTAGTTGCAAATTAGCTGTTGTCATAAATGTAAAAGAAATAATAGTGCTGCACCCTGTTGGTAATCCTTGTAACTTTAATGCTATTGAACATCATAGAACAGAACCAACTTGATTAAATTGAAACAGCTGTTAAGATTCAATAATTCCATTTCTTATAAGGTTAACATGGGAAACTCCAGAGCCACTGGGGCGGATCCCGAAAGGATTTTTGAAGTAAGAATATGCCTATATGTTAATCGGGAATGTGAGCTATCATCATGCCAAATTTCAGCCCAATCCGACCAGTATTTTTCGCGTTCACTTGTCACAAACATACATCCATACATCCATACATCCATACATCCAAACTTTCTCATTTATAATATTAGTAGGATAATCAATGACAAAATCAGAGTAAATAAAATAACCTCATAATTCTAGAGAGCATTTTTATATTTAACCAGCTGTTAGTTAAAAGAAAATTATATTGCACTAAAACAAACCGAAGATTACAAAGGTTTATTTAAAAATCCTTTGAACATTCTAGTATTTTACTATGTATATTTAAATAATCTGTCATCCTCTTATATCTACTAATCAATGATTAGCATTACACATAGTATAAATAAGTCAACCCTTAGTATGTCTTTTAATTTTATCCAAATGCTGAATTTGTATCACATACACGCTTAATGTTTACAGCTGTTACGTTAAGCAAATGATTTTATACCAAAAGCTAGTGTAGAATGATGGCGTCGGCTGCTACACTTTTTAAATTTTAAACTTATTTTCTAAAAAACTGAAACCCTAAACTAAAATTATGGCTTCGACATTCCCTAGTTCTCAAAATTATCTTTCTTTCAACACAAAAATCATGAAAATCCGTCGAGTGGTTGATTCAGAATCGTGAAATAAAAAAACACTGTTTCGTTTTAATATTATAGATAGATACTCATAAGGTTAACGTGGGGAACTACAGAGCCACTGGGGCGGAGCCCGAAAGGATTTTTGAGATAAGAATATGCCTATATGTTAATCGGGAATGTAAGCTACCATAATGCCAAATTTCAGCCAAATCCGTCCAGTGCTCCACACCCCCCAATAAAGCAGGGGGGGGGTCCGGATTTGAAATGTTCGTAGCCTTTTGGTGGAAGTCTTCTTCTCCCTCCCTAACTGATCACTAATGGTTCATAAAAACCTTTCATGAACCAAATTCCCCAAATCTAAATAATATGACTGTCCTCTTTGATCTTATCATAGTACTTTGTATCGATCTTGATAGTTTGCTCCTGAGCTGAATAGCGTCTAAATTCGGAGTATCAAGCAAATGTCGATCATAAGGAAGACAAACAGTGTGTTGATGGTTAGTACCGTCACACACACTTCAATAAGATATTGTTCAATCCTTGGCATCTACAAGCTGTCAAAATTGCACTCCGTGTTGTTAAGATTATCCAAGAAAAGTATTTTGTCAATAATTTTCAAATGTTTTGCTGCTAACATCAGTACTGACAATTCCTGCAATACCTGGACCTGGAGATGAGAGGGCAGGTTAAGTGGGCATGTCTTTGGCAAGTCTCACACCACTCAATACTTGTATAAGGATTCCCACCTCCTCCCAAAAAAAGGGAAAAACCTTGGACCCAGACGCAATTTCTTATAGGACTAGGGATACTATCCAGCAAAAAGTGTATAGATAGTGGCAAGAAAACCCGTAAAATAGTGTTGAACTAAAACTAGTACAGATTACTTCAGCGATTAACATATCATGGTGTAACTAGCAGTCTGTGGTGGCAGTGGAAAATCGGTCAGTTGCATCATTGCATGTGTTGCTCATATTTCAGGCACACCTATATCTGATACATGTGGGTTTGTACCCGAAAGTATTTAGAACACTGGTCATGGACTGTCAGCTAGTTGAAATTGTGATTTTGTTGTTTTTTAGATCTAAAGGAATGTAAATATTTGATTTTGAATCGTCTTACAAACTGAGTTTTGTGAATTAAAAAGGACATTTTTACACAAATATGAATCTTGAAGTTATTTTTGTTTTTACACAATATTTTTATTCAAGTTTTGATAGCGTAGTCTTAGATTTTGTTTTTTTGCAATATAAACCCTAGTACCAACAAATTTCATTATTGGATGATTGGATCACTGGTCTACCATCAGTGAAAAGAAAAGTATTGAACAGCTAGAAACTTAACCCACTACTACACATGATATTACAGTGTAAAACACTTATCCAGCTTTGTTTAGATTGCATAGACGGATTGCCTAAATCATATATGGATAAGACTACATTTTACATTATCCAATCGACAAACCAACTAAATAGATTATAAATAAATAATCATTCTTTTTTCATGGGAGAAAGTATTTTACAGCAGTAAAGCTTGATTGGCTCTTAAACTTCAGGATGTGTGAATTAATCCTAATATGGGAAGTGTATTGTGATATATCAGAATAGATTAAAGTCACCTTAGAAAGTGTAATGTAATACAGTAGAGTCCCGATAGTCCAAAATGGTTTGGACCGGAACATTTTGGATTACCAAACATTTCGGTTCAAGTTTTTTTTTTCTAATTTTTTCCCTCTAGGATGCTAGGCACGAGCCCGAGATGGTTTTTCAAGTCTATCTCACCCGGCCGCTACAGAATACTTCGGCGAGGTACAACTAACTGTCGTTAAACGACAGTGCTAGCATTTTCATTTGATTTCCTAACATACAATGCAATTCGTTAGAGTTAGCTTACAAAAAATATAAGTCTATCTCACGCTCACGTCTACGTTGGATTTTTAGAGAATAGGGTAACAAAAAAATGTACACAAAAAAAAGTTGTTTCAAATCTAAGGTTTTTATTCTCTTTTGGTCCAATATATGCTTTAATACAACAATAATAAACAATTACTTTTAAAATAAACAATGTTTTACTTGTGCCTCTAGGAAACAATTAATTGTTAGTCCTTTACATAAAGTGAAAAACATTCATGATGTGACATTAGCCTATTTTATCTGAACGTCAAGTTTACAGTAAAATATATGCTGAACCAAAAGACGAACATCAGTCTATTTTGATTGGTGGGATGGGTAGGGGATCTAAGCACCATGTACCTAATGTAAACCATATTCTATAGACAACTAAATACTGCAGCTATTATACAAATATGTTATTATCCAAAATATAAAATGTGTCGTTTCACTTTATAGACTACAATAAATAAATGCCCGAAAGTGACAAACCTCTAAGCCAAGCTAATTATTGTTTCCACAATATAAGTTCATTTATTAAAGTTACAGTCCAGGTTAAAAACATAAAAACACTTATTTACACTATTTTTAAAAACAGAAACAAAAGTAATCCAAGTTAAAGGTCTATATTAAAAGGCTACTTCTTATTGTATAGCACAAAAAAAATTGGAAAAATGAAAATTTCAAGTTGAAAAAGAAAAGTACAATTATTCGATCACGAGTTTACATTTTTTTTCAAACACTTCAATAGGTGTGAAATAAATGTATCAATTTTCCTCAAAATTTTACCAATTAAATTAATATTATTTAAATATGTAGGCTATAAATGAATGTATTAGAATGGTATTAGTGAGGTTAATACTGGCCAATTTTAAATGCTTATTACTTCCAACTTAGGATAGTACAATTATTGATGAAACCATGTTGTGTTGAAATGCGCAAATGCAAAGTGATATACGATTATTTTGAGTCGGAACAATCTTTAACCATCAGATTGAGAAGTTTCAGATTCTTTTTGAGGTATTATTATTAATTAAATAATATGCATTAACCACTATAAAACTTTTTCGAGTTTTAATAATCACTTTCTATGTCTTTTGCAACAGTGTTCTAAGATTACTGTACTTATAAAACTACAATAGCTTAACTATCGTCTAAAATTTATTTTAATTTGGCTCTTCAAAAAATAATTAAAAAGTAGAGTGCACCTATTTTGTGCATTATGAGACAAGAGACAGAATCAATAAAATATCACACCTATTAACAGCATCCCAAAATAACAACAAACTTGTTCATAGAACAAAATATAGTATATATCTTTGTACAAAATCTAACTACAATACTTTTGTTGTTAGGAAACTTGTGCTATAGTGATAACATACGATGGGTCTAACAAAACCACTAGTTTCATGTTAGTGACACACTAGTTGTTATTAGAGAGGGTGTTTTCACAGGTTTCTAATGATTTTATATTCTATAGTTACAATGTTAATTCGTCAAACAAAAACACTTAAAGGCTAAAACATAAAAACAACAGACTAACTTATTAGTATTTATATACATAAAAGAATAACAAGATAGAAAGCTAGTGGTATATTTATTGCATCACTGAAAGTTTAAAGCATGTCTAAAGTTTTTGACGCTAAAACCGAACATAGTTCTTTTTCTTACTTTACAAAACATTAAATTATTCACAATTCACAGAGAGCGTAAATAAAAGCTTTTGACTTTCCACAGGAATAAGGCTGAAAATGAATGTCTTCGTTGGCCTTAACACAAATTCCTGAGTTTATGTTTTTCACTGATGAGCAATTCACTCGGGCAAAATGTTTTTAGTAAAGCACTGTAACGTTAATTTTGATATGAGCTGTCAATCTAACTTAGTCTAATCATAAAAAATGCCACTAAAAATCACTTTCTACTTCATAAAATTCTTAAACCTTCAACGTTTAAAAAGACAACAGGGGATAAATGACCTTCGCACCTCATGTAATGGCTGTACTGTGTTACGTTCGTTAATTCTGGCTGTAGTTGCAGGCTGCTTCTCTTCATTTAAAATTCATCACAAGAATATTTTGCTGCAACTTATATCATGTCCGCTTCTCAGCAACTCTTCAATCTTCATAGTTCTTCATCGGTACAGATGTAACTCCTATCTTGGTTACACTTGTATTTTCATAGTTTAATGTCAGTTACACTTGTATCTTCATAGTTCTAAGACAGTTACACTTGAATCTTCATAGTTCTATGTCAGCTACACTTGAATCTTCAGAGTTCTATATTAGCAACACTTGTGTCTTCATAGTTCTTTGTCAGTTACACTTACATCTCTTAATTCTTTGTCATTCGCATCCTTACACTTCTTCGCTTGTGTTTGATGTACTCGTCAAGTTTGCAACTCGTGTACATTTATAAACACACAAGAATTCAGTTTTGTCTGTTTCAGTTGTGTCTGTTTCAGTTCATTTCTGTTTCATCACCAAGGCTTCTAGCAGTCGCAGTTTTGCTTTTGCATGTTTGTATTCTGCATACGTTTGCTCCATCGGAAGTCTGTCCTCTCGAGATAGTTTGCGTCCAACAGTTTTCTGACATTCTTCCTCAAACTCTCGCAAACTTCGACGCAATCGTTTTTTTTCTTCTCTTGTCTGTTGCTGCTGCTTCAACAGTTCTTGCCTGAAAACAGATGTGTATATCAGCTGACTGTGACATAGATAGATTTATGTTACTGTAATTACTTTAAGGCAAAAATAGGGGGAAAATGTATTAATTGAAAAAAATATTGAACATAACTCATTATTGAAATAGGTAGTTTTTTTCAGTTGCTGTGTTAAAAATAGTATTGCTGCCACTCTCAACTATAGTTCAATATTGATACTAAAAAATGTCTTCATTCAGAGTGTTAAGGACTTTACTTATTGTAAAGAGGGAAAAAATATGTATAGATCAAAAATTTGGAGCTATAAGTAGGCCTATATTGCAAATAAGAAGAGGTTTATTTATAATATTTTCTATAGACAAGAACCGTTAACATATAACTTCTGGCTAGGCTTAGAGGGTCACGGAATTATCAAAAAGACTAAGCCAATGGCACGATTTGAGCCTGGAGTGTAATATCACTAGCTGCTCAGGTGTAGAACAATAAAACCTCGTTGAAATATATTTACAATTATCTCATCATTATTTCCAAAAATAACAGGCAAAAAGTCTTTAAATATGGCATTGCTAACTGCTGACAATATTTTTGTAGATCAATATTAGACATGATTGCACAGTTTGGGGCAAGTAGCCTACGATGAATTACTTACAACGGAAGGGCGTGCAGATTCTCCAAGTCAGGTGTGCTGCAGCGAGGGGGGCTGGAGGGTACCATGACCGGGGGTGTGGAGGGGGGAGGAGGCGGAGACGAGCTTGTAAAGTCCATTGTCTCATGCTCCAAGATGGTCCCCAGCTCCGTCACGGTCTCTTTCAGTTTTGACTAAAGCAAAAAGAAAGTGTTTTACAACATGTAGGCCTATACAGAACTAAAACTAAGGTATCCGCAGGTACCTAGCACGTGCAATAATCAGTTGTAGTAGAGTACTCAACCGTAGAAAATGCTTTACAAAAAAAAAACCAGACCACAGACAATCTTTCTTTCACTTCTTTTAATCCAAATCTTACTTAATTTTATCAAAGATTAGAATTTTTCAGAAAATTTGTCACTTTCAAGATTCTCTGTGATAAAAGTTGTCACTACATCCTGGACTATTTTCTACACCCAATTAGGATAAAAAGTGGTTTGGGTAATAATATTATTTGTGGGTAATTGAGCACAAAAACTAAAACTTGTTTAAAACAGTTGGAAACAGTTCTGAATGTGTGACAACTAGTATAAAGTATTTTCTACTTGCATAGAACTAGTGTAAAACCTAGTCTAAAAAATATTAATGATGATTATGTGTATTATTTGGTTATGAAACACATTCATAAAATATCTCATTTATGAACTTACTTATGATAAATGATTTAATAACCTGCTAGAGATAAACTTCTGTTAGTTGAAACCATTTCTAACATGAGGATTCAAAATGTTGTAACACCGTGAGGCTCTACGTAAAGTGAATATTTAGACTTACAGGAGCGTTCCTAGCCAGTAGCCGCTTGAGAGAACGGTATCTGTCATAAAGCGGCCGAACCAGGTCTCGGTCCTCCCGGGTTGAGGGTCGTCCGAAGGTATTCTCCAGGTACAATAGTCCCCTCTGTACGGCCAGCTTCTCCTCTACCAGCTGTTCTCGTGTCATGTCGTCGACAGTCTCCGGCCGATTACCAGTCATTCGCTTCTCCATCAGTCTCTGCAAACAGATCGGACATTGATCACATTAGATTTACAATGTTGCTGACATACCAGATAGCATATTTAAAGGCGAAATTGAGTGAAGGATGAGTGCTAACAGAGTGAGGTGACAGCTTTAAGATCAGCTGATTGCTAAAAAAGTCAGGACGATTGATTTATCCCAAACATCACGTACTCAGTACTTCTCAACTTTTCCAAACTGTGGTAAAAAACAATTGTGGTTCCAAACTTCAGCGACTGAAGAGTTAGTTAACTACAATATGATACACTCTGCCTTATATTTCCAAAGTATAGGCTAAGTTCTACCAGACTTATTTACAAAGAACCTACCTTTTCAACATCATGAATAGCTTCTTCTTTATTGGCGTAGTTTGAGTTTGCCGAGCTACTTGAACCAGGTTGTAAAGCCTTCTCGAGCACTGATGTCCCTTCTTCTTTTAATGCTGAAACATTTACAAAATAGATTATGAAGGATCAAAGATTAGTCCCAACAACAAAAATGTCATCTGGTTACTCAGTATTAATCAATTCCTCATTAGTATGTTTGATTTCCAATGTTCTCTGACATGATCGTTACAAATAGACAATGATTCATGAATGTGTAATGGGGTCAATCCATTTCAAGTGGTCCAGAGGTGGTTGCTTCAAGATTTTCAATTTTTTTCATATTTTTATCCTTGAAAGTATACAGGGTGAGTTTCTACTTAGCGTGTTAACTTCGCCAGTAGGTTCTACTCACTAAAAGGAACAAAAAAGGTCCTATAAACCCATGTCCGGTTTTCAACCGTTTGGCTGTAATAGGGGATTTTGTGTTTTTCTTATTTTATTAGACTTTGCTCCACAATTTATGTAATAAAAACTTAACCAATTACTTTAGAGAGTTATAGTTAAAATCATTGGAAAGAATATTAAATTTGCTATAAATCAAAGGTTTCATTCAAGAATTATGCCATTACATAGTCCACGTTATATCCAAAATAAAGTAAAAATGTCATTAAATTAATTAATTACGATAATTTTCATGAGCCCACTTTGATACATAAACCTTCATCTATGCAATGTTGAAATGCATAAAAAACTTGGCCATTTAATAATCTTTCAAATGATCTGCTATTCAATACTATTATTGATATAAACCACTGAGAAATTACTAATAAACTACAATAAAACACGGTTTACAGATTTTGTTTTTGCACAGTTTTACTGTTGATAATAATTACTGTATACTCCATGTTGTATTTTATTGAACAATCTGATAAGATTTGTACATTATTTTAACTTTTAAATATTTATTAAAATAATCTGAATTAATAAAATGTATAAACTCAAGGTTTTTCACATTTTCAAAGATAGTGTATTTGATTCTTAAATGCTGTAAATTAGTTTTACCTTGTGCTTTATTAAGTCAGCTTTTATTGATTTGTCATCTATAGCTAGATAACTCAGCTGCTTAAACATACCTTGTTGAGTAATTTGCTGTTTTAACTTTATATTTCCAAGTCAATTAAGAGTTTTTCAACATTTATTAAACTACTAGCTGTACCCGCGGGCTTCGCCCCGTTTAACTTCATAAGTATTCGCATGGCTCATTCACGTCCTGGTTGGAGCTCGTTTGCTGCGCTCACTTACCTTCAGGTTAGCTCGTTCGCTACGCTAACTCGCTAACTACAGAGCCCGAAAGGGTTTTTGAGATAAGAATATGCTTTAATGTTAATCGGGAATGTGAGCTATCATCATGCCAAATTTCAGCCCAATCCGTCCAGTAGTTTATGCGTGATTGAGCAACACACACACACACACACACACAAACATACACACAAACTCACAAACTTTCAGATTTATAATATTAGTAAGATGGAGTCTTTTACCAATCAAGAGTATGCTAACATGATGAATACAGTAATTATTATTAACAGTAAAAACTGTGTCAAAACAAAATCTGTAGACCGTGTTTTATTGTAGTTTATTAGTAATTTCTCAGTGGTTTATATCAATAATAGTATTGAATAGCATATCATTTGAAAGATTATTAAATGGCCAAGTTTTTTATGCATTTCAACATTGCATAGATGAAGGTTTATGTATCAAAGTGGGCTCATGAAAATTATCGTAATTAATTAATTTAATGACATTTTTACTTTATTTTGGATATAACGTGGACTATGTAATGGCATAATTCTTGAATGAAACCTTTGATTTATAGCAAATTTAATATTCTTTCCAATGATTTTAACTATAACTCTCTAAAGTAATTGGTTAAGTTTTTATTACATAAATTGTGGAGCAAAGTCTAATAAAATAAGAAAAACACAAAATCCCCTATTACAGCCAAACGGTTGAAAATCGGACATGGGTTTATATGAACTTTTTTGTTCCTTTTAGTGAGTAGAACCTACTGGCGAAGTTAACACGGTCAGTAGAAACTCACCCTGTATATTGTTAGAAGTACAAAAATACAATTATTTTATTTTTATTTTATTTTTCTACTGAATGGCGGCCACTTTTTTGTTACTCGAACGGCCGTTTTCAGCAATTTCAGAGCTCTGCGTAGAATTTAATATCTCTGGTTCTATATATCCTAGCCAATTCCTATACCAATTCCCTGAACACAATCCTCTCACAGATTTGTACCTGTGGCAAACAACAAAGAGCGTTTTAAAACATCAAAATGCTTAAAATATATGATTAAAATATAACATTGTTAAAAAAATACATTGATAGTGAGTTATAATATAACATTATGCTTCCTACGCTATTACGGCTATAATGCTTATTTAGTACTTTTCAATGTTTCATAACTTGAAACCAGTTGAGTCCACAAAATAAAATTATTACAGCATAATACTCTTACTTAGTACTACATCTGAGCCAAATTTGAAATTTTTATTTTCATGCCCAACAAAGATATTAATCATCAAACTTTTAAAATTTTGAAAATTTTAAGATTTTGACAATTTTTATTTAAAACTCTATGCAAGTCCACAACTTGAAACATTGAGAATTTGGAGTACACACCTATAACTATCAGATAAAAAAATAACAAACACATAGTCAATTGCCTTTATATAAAAATAAATTGTTTAAAATCAGTATTTGTAACATCGTTGCGTTAAACTTTAAACAGGTAATTAGACCTATATATTTAGTTTTAAGTGCATAAATATATTACCATATCAAAGTTCAGATCTTTCTGAAGAGATTGGTTTTTATTTTAATGTTCTAGGATTAGTAGAACCAGAGATATTTAATTTTACGCAGAGTTCTGAAATCGCAGAAAACGGCCATTCGAGTAACAAAAAAATGGCCGCCATACAGTAGAAAAATAAAATAAAAATAAAATAATTGTATTTTTGTACTTTTAATAATATATACTTTCAAGGATAAAAATATGAAAAAAATTAAAAATCTTGAAGCAACCAATTAATTTATTTCTGGACCACTTGATATGGATTGACCCAATGGTGTTTTTTTTTTCTCTACAGACTGATAGCTAATAAAGTAAGCTAGCACACAAATGAGTCCAACTGTTTCCGAACTATTCACTGATGGTATATGAACCATTTATCATATTAGAGTACCGTAAATATATTATAATTTTCCATTGGTCTATATTTTTGCTTTAGAAATTTCTACAAAATAAAGAGCGGTGATAACCTAATTCCCGTCAAGCGGTAAAGATATTATAAATCGATCTTACTTAGCAGAAAGAGAGAAGTTCCTTTTGGTCTGTAGGATTGAGACATGTCCTTAAGCATTGGCATACTAGTTTGAAGCCTTGAATATAAAGCTGATATTTCCGATTCAAATTGGTGCAGCTCATTTAGCTAAGTTAATAAGTAAAATAAAACGATTCTGCCACTTACTCTTGACTTCCTTCCGCAGTTTGGTGAGGAGGGAACACATTTTTTTGGTGTCTGGGTTGGCAAGCTTGTCTGCATGGCTCGGTCTGTAGCCAAACTCCTTCTCAAAGCCTTCTTCATAGCGCTTCAGTTTACGTTTGAGGCTGTAACATACAAAAACGCAATAAAATAAACTATTTCTACAGATTAAAAACTAAAAGTAAAAAAAAGAGGTTTTAACTTATTCTAGATGGAAATATCATAGAAATCCCAGTTTGCCCACTTTAGTTTTATCTAACTTGAATACTAAACAACACTCTCTTAGTAGATTTGTCATCCTCATATATCAGCTGGAGACAATTTTATGGTTAGTTCCATCCGGTGCCGCTAGGATCTAGTTTTTGTTTACAATTTGTTTCATGTTATTTCAGTTCTTTAAAACATTGTTTAACCAAATAAAACAGTCCAATCATAAACAATAACTCGCCCCTTAGTTATATAACCAAACAGTTAAGTACAAATCATTAAACTAATTAGAAAATAATGGAAACAAAATTTCATTGACACTAGCGCCCAGTGTAACCAACATAAATTAGACATGAAAAACAAGCTTCAAATTTTACAGGATGAGAATTCTACTTGTGTAGTCTATGATACTAATTATCAAAATACGTAGTTTAAATCTTATATTTTACAATGTCAAGTTATTAGTGATTGAAGTTTACTGAATTGCTGTTAAGAGTTAATACAAATTACTATTTCATACAAAGAATTACTATCACCGTTTTAAAACAACTAACAAAAACACTCAAATGTACCATTGTTTTTGAAACTATACAAAGTAACAGAATTTGATTAAAAACTCATACAATTAATTAACTAAGTAAAAGCCATGATGATTCTGTACATGCAAAATTGATCACATCATTGTTTGTTAACTTTAGTTTTATTAACAGTAACTAATGATACCATTTTTTTTATGTTTCCCCATTTTAAGTCAAGAGACAAGTTTTTTTTATGTTATTATATTTGTAATGTTGTAAGGGAGACAATATCAGGCAATTATTATTGATCTCAATTCTTAAAATTTAATAAATATACAAAAAACAACTAAGAACAAGTAAAACCCCATAGTTATTTCTGTGGAACTAGTAGATTAGAGCGGTGATACTAAGTTAGTATTTTACTACTCCCTTTAGCGTAACAAACTCTCTGTTTACCTGTGGATTTGCTTGGACACTTGAGAGAGGTGAGAGTCGGAGGCGTGTTGAGGAGTGTCGTCCGAGAACACTCGTCGAGTCATCACGATGGAGCTACGCGGAGACACCAAGCGGTCCTCTACCTATAACATGTGGCATCAATGATTAATACCCATCAGTCTGAGTGTAAAAAGATGCATTCAGATAAAAATACAGTAAAGTACTACTGTTTAAATCCCTGTTAGTGCCTGTAAAAACTTTAAAAAACTGTGCCTGTAGTCTTGCAAACTTGGCACCTGATAACATGGGAGGCCAAGATTTCTCGACAGACCCTTTAAGAATTTGTACACAAGTTGAAGAGAATCTTTAGTCCTTTACGTTCCACAAGAAACCCAGGTAGCAACTAAAAATTTGTATTTTCAATAGTTACACAATGCCTTGCTTTAGTGAATTAGAGCTAGCCCTATTTGCACACATTAAACCGTAACTCAAGAGTGAATTAAGGAATGAAACAAAATGAAATGAAAATTGCTTCTTTATTCAGGCAATCTTATGACCTCGTGGTCCTTTCTTATAGCTTGCCTCTACAATAATAATTATACTAATAGTATGAGTATTGCATACCTGACGACCAGTCTGCTAGTCAGTCAGTCCACAGTCATAATTTTTTTTGAATAAGCAAGTCAAAAATTTTTTTTTTATTTCAATGTTATTGTTGTAAATTAACTATTGATATTAAAAATTATAAATTGTCTCAGTTTGAACGTTTGACCAAGCATTTCTTAGACTCGACACTGTTCCAGTCCACATTAGACTGTACTGTACTAAAATAAGTAATTTCTTTCTTTTAATTTCCTGATACATTAGACACATCACTGACTCAATATATGGCACTACAAGACCAAGCCAAGTTATTGCTAAAACGGATAGGGTGTGGTCTGTTTAGCATGAATTAGCAAGACTACTAGTTGCTAGCACTCAAATGACAAAATTAGCCTACATTGTTTCAAAACCACATCGTTATGGAATTTAATTTATTTATAAAACTATTTGGTCAAAATTGTCACTGGTTTCAATTGACAAGTAGACCTAGTATTTTTGAGGTACCAACTTCGTCATCTAAAGCGCGATCACTGACCTGGTGGTGGCGGAAGGACAGACTAGTGAGTGGCTCGGTGGAGTCAACTTGTTGATGCAACGTAGACAAGTCTAGAGGAGGAGTGGTGGGAGTAGCCTCCGGCGATGGACAACGATCCTTCACCTGCAACATGAGGTATGCTTGTATACACTAGGCCTGTGCAACCTAACAATTAATTAACATGGGCGGAGTTATAGGTTACTTGTTGCGGGGAGAAGCATGAACTCTTAAATTGTCAACTTACTGGTTAAGGGGTTCTCCCGCCTTAGAAAGTTCAGGCCATAATTTAATATAAAACCGTTGACTTTTGATAAAACTTTTTTGTTGAAGCTCAATTCTATCTCTATTTTCTCAAATTTTAATAAGATTTGAAATATTTTAATGCTTTTTCCAATGAACTTAGAAAATACCTTTTAAGTGCTTAAGAAGTAGTAGAAAAGTAAAATAAATAAATTATGTAAATGTAAATTTAAACATCTTTGTTTTTTTACAACACAGTAAAAACCAGACTAACTTTTACAGGATAAATTTAATTTACAATATTCCCTTTTATTCATATTACTGAAACAACCAATGAAACCTAATTACACCCAACAGAGTATTTTAACCAACAGAGTATCCTTCGTCTGTGCTTGAATAAAAACATAAAGACGATGAAGCCAAAGTCAGTGACAGAGTGACGGGACGGCGTTATCATCGGCCAGACAGCCTGTGTAAAAGTGTGATGAGTGAAAGATACGAGAGGTTTGGCTTTGTTACTATTCTTACACTATATGTTTATTTTTTATTTATATATAAATCCCAATGATCAAGCACACAATTTGAATTATTTTTAAAGAAGGTTTGTGGCTCATTTAGGCTTGCTTGTCTGCATGGCCTCTGACCAACGTCGGGTTGAGACAGGTAAATAAAAAGAAAGAACTGAACCGATGAGTAGCGGTACCAAGACATGGTCCTTAAAACCTTTGTTACCTTTGGCATCAAGAGATTATTGGTTCTCGTTTTACCAATACTCCTTTACTTTAGATTAAATATCAATTACAGAAAATTAATTACTACACATATTGTTTTACAGCATTTTAACGTACACATCTCCCTCAATTCCAACCTTTAAAATTGCATTGTTAAAACAACAGATGAGTGATGGACGCAAAGTTTTTGAATGTCAAAGATTAACATTCCTAGCACTCACCACAAAAATCCGTGGTAGACTTGGTGGAACTTCATCTTGGCTCTCACACCACACTACAGTCTCCACAACAATGTTGGTACCACTGACTGTCTCACTTTTCAACAGTATTTTAAGAACCATTTCAAATTTTTTGTTGACCAAATAATTTTTTATTAACAGATTCGCAAAGTTCCTGCACTGTTTTTGGTGATTAGTTAGAATATGTCCAAATCAACTACCAGTAATTGTTAAAGACTTTATTGGCATTATATCACTTTTATTTTGTCTTATATCTGTTATGCCTATTTGTTTAACAAATTATTAGATTTAAATGTTAACACAATGAGACTGTTAATGTAAGTATCTCCATATTTAGGCCTATGATTATCGTAAAATTTCACACTTAAAAATGTTTAAAACTTGAAAATTTCTATATTTGAGAAAATCATTAGAAATCACAACATGTCTCTAACAAGTTCACTTTTAATGAATTGCATATTAAACTAAACCTTATTCCAAAAGTGTAATCAATCGAGGAAGAATGTCCCTACTAAATCTTATTAAAATAAAATATTTGCAAACGCGAACACACGGTAACGAGCGAGTACCACAGACTGTTGACTGTGCTTGTAAGTCGGTCAATACGAGACAAATAGACATTTGGACAGTGATATATGATGAACATGCAACCTCGTATAAGGCACAACCTCTGCACAAAGCTGTGTATTGTTATAGGATCTTTATAAATAGGCTACATGTTCAATCGTTGAATTTCCATATCTGAATTTCCTTACCAACATTCTTATTCTATATTTAAAATGGCATCCACATTTGCGTTTTTTTTATTCACAGGAAAGTTTTGCAAATATTGTAGCCTAATCCTAAATGATTTTATCCTTTTATATTTTTGAGTAAAAAATAACTTTAACTATTAACTTAAATTTTGACATTTTATAATACAGAGAAAATTCTTCTTCTTCTACAGAAAGATCGATCCATCCTTTTTCTCTAGATTGGTGGGCTCTGAACAAGTTGGTCACATTGTTAAAAGCCATTGGTGCTTATAGACTTAGGACCAAATATAGAAATTCTGTGTTTCAACATAATCAGCCACAACTCTAGATTTAAGATTTTTTAAACCGTTCAGGTTACAGAGCACAATTCATCCAAACCTGTTAGCTTTGTGCTTCACAAAAGAAAGTAGATACAAATTTAATTTATGAAGTTGTTTCGTAAAAATGTGTAGGAGGAAGAGAATATATATAATGGATGGTCCATCAATGTATAAAGATTGATCAAATAATCATAATGATCATGAAAACGGTGATGAAAAAGGATTTACCAAACGGTTTCAATCTATTTACGTCAAAATGCAGCAAAATCAGTGGTGAAAGCAATTTTTGTTAATTTTAGCCTTTCAAGTTTTTCTCTAGTTGATTTATATTGTGTTGTGAGCTAAAGTATACACTGACTGCTTATTATGTTTAGGTAAGTCTAGCTCACCTCGTCATGCAGTTGCAGGAATGATCGCTCACTGCTAGACGAAGTACTACGGGACTCGTCTTCTGACAACGGCATCGTCGGCTGAACCACCATAGCCCCTTCCTCTTCATTTTCCTACAAAAATATTTAAAAACATCCATAACTATATCCTGTTTGATTACAGTAGAACCTCTATAACCGTCACCATCGGGACCGGGAGCGTGACGGTTATTGAAAAGACGGATAGCAGAAATCCTGTTATACACCTCTACAGTAAGTTGATTTTAAGGGTGTTTGGTCGTTAATTTTCATGTCTGATTTTTTATTATTGTTCAATTGTACTAAAAATTAGAAATACAAATATATAAGAAAAAGTTTTTTATTTTGAATACTAAGCGAGATATGGAGCTTGAAAGTAGTAAATTTTTCATCTTTGGTACCAATTCACAGGGAGAATGGGTAATGCTATTCTCACCAAAATTGGCATTCAGGTGTGGAAAAATAAGATAATAATCACTGACTATTTAAAATTAAAATTTTTTTAAATTTTTAAAAATTTATTTTTTATAATCATTTTTAATTATTAAAATTTTTTTAAAAATTTTGAAATAGCTCTTTGTTTTTGGGGAAAATTTTTCTGTATGTTGGAATTTAAAAAAAATTTATATGTTAATTCGTTTGGGCTGTGAATTCGTACCTTTGATGCCTTGCGCTGTCGGAGCACTACTCGTTGAGAGTTTGTACACTAACACAGGGGTTTTAGAATACTTTAACATCACGTAATTATTAACATCTTATAACATTGAAAGAATACGTTTATCGTTGTATTCTAAAGCCCCGGTGTCAGTGTACACACTCTCAACGAGTAGGGCTCCGACAGCGCAAGGCATCAAAGGTACGAATTCACAGCCCAAACGAATTAACATATACAATTTTTTTAAAATTCCAACATACAGATAAATTTTCCCCAAAAACAAAGAGCTATTTTAATTTTTTTTTTTAATGTTAATAATTTCAAAAAAAATAATAAAAAAATAAAAATTTTTAAAATTTTAAAAATTTATAATTTTAAATAGCCAGTGATTATTATCTTATTTTTCCACTCCTGAATGCCAATTTCGGTGAGAATCGCATTACCCATTCTCCCTGTGAATTGGTACCAAAGATGAAAAATTTACTACTTTCAAACTCCATATCTCGCTTAGTATTCAAAATAAAAAAAATGTTCTTATATATTTGTATTTCTAATTTTTAGTACAATTGAACAATAACAAAAAATAAGAAATAAAATTTTTGACCAAACACCCTTAAGGATTTTGGAAGAAATTAAACCCTGTAGTTAATAATAAATATTTATATTACTTACACACAAGAGTAATAAAAAACTGTCATTTTTTATGTTGTACTTGTTCAATGTTTGTACAGGTAAATGAAATTGTATTAAAAAATAATCTAAGTACTGTAGCGGGGTGACGGAAAACAGAGAGTGACGGTTAAAAGTAAAATAAGTTGAAAGTTGTATGAGAAGTTATCTTTACATGAGAAGTATTTTTGTTTTCTAGCTTAGTATGTTAAATAATGTTGCAATATGACATGACGAAAAACATAGTTCATCACACAGGCAAAAAGTGACTATTCAAACCTCACTCATTTTCAGACCGGTGGAACTTGAGCTCGGGTTTAAAAGAGTCACTTTACGCCCTAGTGATGAAATATAAAAAAAAATTATAAGAAAAACATTTAACCCATAAAATCATGTTTACCACACTCCCTTTCACATCACAACCCTGTTTCAGTTGTGAGGCAAGGGGTGTGACTTTAATCTCTATTTGATAGTACAGATAACCAAGTAGTAAATTAAACAAAGAGTAGAGAGATAATGAAACAGTGTGTGAAAGAGATAACGAGTTGGAACAGTTAACACACAGGACTTTGGAATCCTCATTGTCACTAAATTACATCCCAGTAAAATTTGTATCAATGTTATCTTGACTTAACTCGATTGCTTCACTTCTTGTTTTGAACATAGTCAAACAGTTTAAACCGTAAGCATTATTATCTTTAGGATACATTTCAGCTAAACATTGGCACTGTAAATTATATTGAAGGCAAGCTTAATATTTTTAATACGGTATGTTATGTTCCAAGTGTATGTATGTTATTTGTATATGTTATGTTATTTGTTATTCAGATATAACAAATATATATTGATATATTGATATATATATTGATGATGGTGATAGAATAATCAAGTTGCTGATATGATTCCGAGAAGTTTTTTAAGAAAAAGTTAACAAAAGATAGCAAGAAGACCAGGGTTTAAATCAAAATTGTCTTTGTACCTTAGACGAGCTGTCTGGATCGTCACTACTGCTCCACTGACGCACAAGTTTGCCGGTGCTGCGCCGGCGCCGGGTCACACGAGCAGGCGGTACACACGGCGCATGCCTCTCACTCTGGCGCCGCCGCTCATGTTCATTCTCATCAAACAAGTCACTGGCGTACCTGAAATACAAGTGAAAGAGTTGAGTAATTGACTATACCTACGATCATTTTTTTAAACTACCCTTATCAATTTAGTTTTTAGAATTAAAAAGATTCACTTTACAGTATTTTTTACTTACTTTAGCACTGTTTTGTTACTTTACAGTATACAGTAGTACATAGTATGACAATGTAACCAACATTTTCAACATTGAAAACACCCTCGCACAAAATTAAAAACTATACCTTTTTACAAGGGATTTAAAAACAACAATAATTTACCTAATCCATCTAGAACTTTATCAAAATCAAGTTTTACATTCAAGCTGACCAAGTCTTTGGGCCAAAAAGCGTATTACGAAATCCATACTTTTTTAAAGATACATTTGTAGGCTTTACACTTGTTAGAACTTATACATAAAATCACTGTACCAGCTTAGGAATTACTTTGGTGATATGTACAATAAAGCTTTGTCTATTGGCTATTGTAATGAATTAACATTCACAAACATACACAAATGTAAAAAAGTGGTTTCCAAGATCAAACTTAACAACACAATTGTCGTCAACAGGTGACTATGGTCGTTAATGGTGGTACATCACTAACATTTTGTGTTGACGTTTCCGTGGTCCGTAACACAGTTTCACTCACCCAGGTGATGGACTGGACTCTATGAGCTGGCTGAGCCCGTTCTCATTGTTGTTGTCACTGTTGTTGTTATTGTTGTTGTTGGCCGGCACAGCCCGCTGTTTGTGGCAGTGCCTGTTTGATGTCACTGTCGGCCAGTTGTGCTCGTGCAGTGGCTGGCAAACGTTGTGACTCTGCAAAACCCAATATAATTATGTAATTGCAAAATAACTTAAATTTGAAGCAATAAATTAAGTTCATTAAACACTGAAATTGTAATTTTGTCTATGGGATAATGGGGATTTACAACCCTTTCATCAACCTAAAGCTGGGAAATAGCTCCAAAACTAAAACGTAAGAAATTAAATTTAATAAACGGTTGGGAAAATGCAGAGATGTATTGATCTATGTGTTGTTATTTCTTTTAAAATATAAAAACAATAATCAAATGTAGAAGGTAGAACATGTCTGCATAATACAACCATTTTGGCATTAAAGTTTTACAGGCATGAGACATTAAAAACAAAACCTTTTTCAAATCAAGTGTCATTTTATTACGGCATCACAAAAAAACTGTTTAGGAAAATCGGCCAAAACCTCTCAGATTGTTATGAATTTAAAAGAGATTGAACCTGTGGTTCTCACATCGAAGTACAAGACGCTAGCCAATAGACGAGCAACACAATTCAACATTTTCCCAAATTATTCATTTTCCTTCTCTTAAGATTTCTTTTTCCAACATGGAAAATTTATTTATTAATTTATTAATATATTTATTAAGGTTGCCTTAAGAGTCAATAACTTAGCAAGCGCACTACTAACAACATTTCCATTATTGTTAAACCTAACTTAAAATAATTCCAATTACAAAAAAAAATAATTTGGGCAACACTTTATCACCTAAATATAGTTTCAATAGAAATTCCAATGTGGTAAAATCTCAAGTGATTAGCTACTAATATACGTTTAACACATTAACTGCAGGAAAAGTGTTGTTAAACTATAACCATAAGTACCAAAACTCTCACAAAGACTCTATTCAATTCTTAATGTGTGTAAATCAAGCCAGATTAAAACGTCACACTCAACTAATGTATTCTCGATTCTTTTGTTGAACTCCAAATCCATTGTCATGAATAGGGTTTGATTTTCAAGTAGTTGAACATCTAGTCACTTCTGATAGAATAAATAAACATAATGAAGACTGAACTATTGATAAGAGAAATGTTTGAACAAATGTCCATATAAGATAAAAGTATAACTATGACCAACAAATAAAAGGATGAATTATTCAGGTGTTTGGATTCGACTGGATATATCTAGTTTTGGTTGGAATTCTATTTATGGGCAAATTTGGAATATATTAGAAATCCAGTTCCCAAATCAAAGACACCAGTGAGGACGTTTCCAATTTTTGATCTTCAAAATATTTTCCTGTTTAACATAATTTAATTTTTAAGAATACAGAATAAATTTTGTTAAAGGTTAAAGGATATATTTTGATTAAGTGTTTGTATTTTATCCCCCTACAACGAATAAGCTTGATTGACTGTACATAGATATAAAAAGCATAATAACTCATGGTTTCACTGTTAGAGTAAAAAGTTATTCTTATTAAGTGTAATTGAATGTATGATTATAAATTGTAAAAGATAACCTATTGTTTTTTTTTATTACTAAAACGTTTGATTGTCATGTTGCTTTTTTAAGTTATTGAATTTTTTTGTAGGTACCTTCCTAAACTTCCTAAGTTAATATTCACTTTTGGTTTGGTTGGATTCGGTTTAGTAATCTTATTATTGCATACGTTTTTTTACTAAATAATATTGTTACACAACAGCTTATTGTAATCTTAGTTAATAATTTTGAATGTGGTAATAAGCATAAAACGCACAAGTCAATCCAAGTCAAACCAATATGTTTTAAACTCTAAATACTATTTCCAAAATTACATTTTATCACAGAAATTTCAGATAATCCTAATACTTAAAATATATATTAAAAACCCGATCCTACCCAACAATTGGAGCTCATACGGTACAACACTGATGCAGTCATTGGACACTCCACACAGAGACACCAAACTGAACTGATCTGAACACAGATGTGCAACTGACTGACTCACCAACTCACTGATCTGACTCCCCTCCCCTCCCACACCACGTTGGTACTACTGACCTACCATCCAGTGATAGCGGTTATCACACGGCACTATTGTTGAGAGAAAAGTTATCACTTGACACTATTGTTATGAGAGAAATTAAGATTACAGCAAAAGTCAATATTTTTTACACAATCTTTGTTTAATTTATGACTAGTGTATTGTTTCTTTGAACTATTTGTCTAGAAAAATACTGGTTAGGAACGTTTTTGTCATAAATGTTTCCAATCGAGGGAAGATAATGTAGTTTTACGGATACTATTGCTCGTAAGAAAAGTTAAGATAAGAGCAAAGCCAATATTTTTTACTCAACCTTTGTTTAGTTTATGACTAGTGTATTGTTTCTTTGAACAACTATTTGGCTAGAAAAATACTGGTAGAAAAATATTATTATTATTATAATATTATTTTAAATACTGGTCAACAATATTTTGTATCAAAAGAAGGTAATGTAGTTTTTCTGGCACTATTGATTGTGAGAAAAATTACAATTGAAATGGTTGTCAACATTTTTACAACACCTTTGATTCACGACCTATGTAATGTTTATTTTGACTACTATTTTACAGAAAGACACTGGTTGAAAAAATGTGTGGTTTGTTGAGTTTTTGAAGTAGATAATAATATAGTTTTAATTGTAAATATATATTTGGTTGAAAGATAAAATTGAGATTAGAGTCAATATTTAATTAACTAGACATTTGTTTGATTTATGACTTGTGTGTTGTTTCTTTTGACTTTTATTTTACTAGGAAAACTTATCTGTAATGTTTTCCTAGCAAGAGAAGATAAAAAGGTTGAGAGAAAAACTAAGCTTATAGTAAATGTCAATATTTCAACACAGCCTTTGTTAGTTGATGACTCATATATTATTTCTTTCAACAATTTAATTTTACTGGAATGATACTAGTGGCAAAAATGTTTGAGTCACTTTTTAAAAGGGTTGTTGTTTTTACTCTTGATGATACAGTATTGCTTGTGACAAAATTGAGGTTTCAGTGAACGACCTTTGTTTCATGTTTAAGTGGGACAATAGTTGTATAAACACTACTGCTTGTGAGAGAAACTATGAGAACTCTAATTTACATTTGAAAGAAAAACTCAATCAGTCTTTCATTTCTTTCACTGGAAGAGATCCTATAGGGCAAATGTTTTTGCGGCATTTCTATTCTGCACTTAAGTATCCTACCTCATGAATAACTAAACAAAAAATACATATCAGCTGATCAGCAATGAAGTAAAGAAAACAGTGATACCAACATATAAGCTTGTTTATTTGTTAAACAGTGTCTCACAGTAAGTTTAAAAGACCTTAAAGAGGTCTAGGTACGCATGCAAAAATCAGTCATTTACAATTTTATTCCCCATAAGAATAACATTGAAGCGGGAATTTAATTTTCTTATGCGGGTTTAAGTTTAGAAATTAAGCGTTTTAGAATTTTCCATAGGCTTTGGGCTCAATAACAATAATCGTGCCAAATTTTAAGTGTCTGGTACATGTACAAGTGGTCTAGATTCGGTACCTGAGTCAGACAGTAATTTGATAAAATTTTAAACTACTTAATTTATGTTACAGATACAAGGTTTTTCCTCGTAATATTTTTCATAGATTATGATTTGTATAATTATGTGCCCTTTAGAGCATGTTTCTGTTGCTCGTAGTTTGCATGATATGAGTCGTGTTATAGAAAAGAGACCTAGCGCTACTTCACCCACCCCCCAAGTTGTGTGCCTGCTGGGAGGGCAACAACATCTGCTTTCCTCATTTCCAAGATGCCCCAGCCTCAAAATGTGTTACACACAACCCCCTATACATTCTGGACTATAAGTGGTGTGGTACAGTTGTGATTTGCCTGTATGATCATTGGTGAATGTGCAACTGTTATTATAGCAAATTTTAAAACCCCAAAATTTCCCTTCTGAGTCTTCTCCCTTCAAAGAAAAGGGATAAATCACTAGAAGGAGTGACATTTTTTATTAATGTTAGTGCAATGTACAAACTGTTGGAAAAAAATTATATTTCAACATGAAAATTAACGAACCTATTGTATTTGTTTTGAATATACCAGTTTAGGCAAAAATAACAATTGTCTCTACATATGCCATGTTAATTGATATGATGTCTGAATTGTCTAAACACCACCTATGACAACTCTAGAAACTACTAACATTGTCATTTAGATGGTTCTACTAGCTAGTGTGACACTTGTTGTGTTATATATCCATAGCACCAGACATTATGAGTCACTCTGTAAACAGTTCATACCATGATACAATTGTACAATAATGTCAACACAATTGTCTTTATCATTCAGATTGAAATTGAAATATTATTTTGTAGCATGTTGTAAGAAGTATAAGGTGTCGTCTCATGGTGTAAAAATGTATAAAATAAAAAAAATTTATAATAATCAATAAAAACTTGCAAAGCAACAATAAAACTCTGTAGGCAAAATTGCAACTGAGTTGTTTCCAGCTATGTCAAGATGTGTTAAGATTTGTAAGATTATATTATGTTTTAAGTTCTATCTTGTCCGAAGATCAAACCATATTCCAGATATCTTATACAAAACAATTCAACAAGAAATTTTTCACAGTGGACTTGGTAAGATTTTTAAAGTTTTAAAAACATGTTTGTCTTATACTCTTTCTATTACGACACATGTATAAGTATTCTTAAGTCTTAGATAAAAATTGCTTGGAGGAAAAATCATCCGTTTTCTAAGAAGTGATAATATTTGTTTGACAGTTGAATTGAGATTTTGTGATATCACGTCACTTATAAATCTGTTTTGCATGCGAAGTTACACAAGAAATCAGGTTGAAACTGGATGAGCACTTATTTTAAGATTCTAGAACAATGTATTGTCAAGTGTTGAAAAACTAATTGATAAAAGTAGCCAATTCAAAATGTCACTTGGAGTGGATACCTTATCAATGCACGTAATTGCCATTGCAGAGCGGAATGTTTATTTAAGCAGTAATATATTTTACTATTTTTTTCAGCTTTTATTAGTAAACGTACAAATAAAA